GCCTAAACGAAAGTGACCGCTCTTATGTTTAATTTTATCGTTTTATTTGCTAACAGTTCTAATCATTATTATTCTAATCAATAAATCGTGTAAGTTCTTTTCAAGTTATTACATGCATTGTAGTCCTACATCAGATACGCTCTTAATGTGGATCAAGCAGAGTTAGTGTGAAAATGTATAAATTTCTTTTCCTTCTTTTACAATTAAAATGTACAAATCTTCTTGCTGCAAATATTGTTATCTCTCTCTCTCTCTCTCTCTCTCTCTCTCTCTCTCTCTCTCTCTCTCTCTCTCAGGAATTTCCTGCTAAGATGTCATTGCTTCATGACTGTGAATTTTGGTATCTCCTAAAGCATATGAGGCTTTTCTTTATTGGGTTTTTGTTGAGATGTAAAACCAGATTGCGAGATGTATTGAGATTATTGTTTCAATTTGTCTGTGATGAGCCTGAGAGACCTTTTCTTCTTTTAGAAGAATTGAAAGTTTGTGTTATATCTGGCAAATCGTCTTGTTTGCCAAGTAATTGCATTTATTTTCTTATTATTTTTTGAAAGAAAGATCACATGTGCGAATCTTTGCTTATGATGACTAAGACTTCATTTGGGACGATTTTTTTGTTGCTTCTTAAAACAACTTTTTAATACAAAAAATTAAAATACTGTTTTGAGAAGCAGCAAAGAAACTATCCCAAATAAAGCCTATCTTTTTTTTTCGTAGCGGTATGAAACATTGTTTGATCTCATGTGGGTACAGAATATTTGGTTTCCCAGTTTTGTTTTTAGGTTCTCAGAAGCTCAAAGAGATTATAACTGATTCCATTGGCCCTTAGTGGATGAAGAAGGGTTCTTGTTTTTATAACTTGCCTTGGTAAGCATGAGAAGCTTCAATAATGAGATTTTGAAGTCGCATTCAATTTTGTTTTTGCGCATAATAATAGCAGAATATCTTAACTTCGATAGGTTGCTGGTTAATCTTTCTTTATTTTATTTGAAGGAGATTGTGTGAAATGAAAAGACTAAAAAAAATCAGTATAATGCAAAAATACAAATTTATTAAATTAAAATTCATTTTAATAGCACTGATTTCTGTAAGTTGGTTTCATAAAAATCTGAGACATTCCCAACATTTTAGAATTTCATAGTTTTTTTTGTTTTTCTGGAACGGAGTATCCACCCGTTGCTACCCCCGAAAGGTCGCTTAGTGGTGTGACTAATCCTCGGCTTACCTAGAAGAGTCACCCACCCTAGAAACCTCCTGGCCCGCACTTGATTGGGTCCCACTTAAGAGGCGCTCTCGCTCGAGAGGAATCGAGCATAGGTTGGGAGGTTCCTAATCGTACTCGTCCACCAACCAAACTTAGCAACCTTTTAGCCATGCAAAATTTGTGATTTTCAACCAACTTTAATAAAAATAAAAAAATCCAATCATTCTCAAGTTTGAATAGAAAAATGGACCTTGCTAAATATTCTGCCAAATTTTTATTTTTTGGGAATATTGAGACTAGGAAGCTACATATGGTCTCTTGGGCTAATACTTGCAAACCAAAAAATAAAGGAGGCATAGGATTATCATCCCTTCAAGCTATCCGGTACTCTTATGACTGTTCACTCATTCTTAGAATTTACAAATGGCAATCACCGTTATCTGAATGGTATTTTTCAAATCATTGCTCTCCATGGAGATTACCTGGCCCTTCCTCTTCAGCCATGTGGAAAAGCATCTGCTGTGCTGCTATTCATGCTAAGCCTAATATGGTTTTTAAGGTCACTGAGAATTGTCCCATTAGCCTTCTATGGGATCATTGGCTTAACGGTGAATGTATAAAGGATATCCCTCACTTCAATTCTGATTCTTTATTATGCCAGGATTTTGCCAAGCTGAATACTTTTATTTATGGTGGTAACTGGAACATTTCTAGTATGTTTTCTGATAACTTCAAAAATGCCATTTCCTCTATCTCTATTATCTCTGGCGGTAGAGTGAATTGTTTATCTTGGGGAAATACTCGAAGGCATTCGTTTTCCTGTTTTATACAGGATTATTATAAGAGGGAAGATGATGTTTCTTGGTACAAAGCTGTTTGGCATAAGCATTCAAATTTAAGGTTTTCTGCATATGCTTGGCTATGTTTTGTTGATGGCCTTAAAACTGCGGAGGCTTTAAGAAAAAGGAATTTGGACGTGAACCCTCTTTGCATTCTCTGTCACTGTCATGCTAAAAACATCTCCCACCTATATTTTGAATGTGATTTCTCTTTTAGTATCATTAGCTCCCTCCTTCCTGCTATTAATTCCTTTCTTTTGAGACCGAATCTTCTCCAAATTTCTGACCACTTTCTTAATGGCGGTAGTTCGCTGGGGTGCCCTGAGGTCAATTTTTTGACCCTATGGGCAGCTGTTTATACTATTTAGAGAGAAAGGAATGGAAGAAAATTTGCTCACCAGTTTAATAGCAGCATTACTATCAAAAATCACATTAAGAAGGTTGTGGCGATTAAACTTAAGAAATGGGAAAAACATTGAATGTTATATCGGTTGCCTGGCTTCCTTTTCCTGGAACTAGTTATGTGCGGGATCGGTTAATACCCCCTTTCTTCTCGAGCAAGATTATATGGGATTTTAAGCAAGCTGGATTGAGTCTACGAGAATGTCTTACAGGGGGCGATGATGTACAGCTTTTCATCCACCCCCTGGAAGGCGATTTTTGCAACATTTCCATTTTTGATGGCAAATCTGGCAACCGGGGGATACTGTTTTTTGGGATGAATTCTGTTTTTCTGAGCCAGAGATATCCCTGAAGACCGATTTAACCCATCTTGGGGTTCACTTTTTTGCTGGAAGAAAAATTTCTCTTATTTTACAGGTATCAAGGCTTTGCTCTGCCAGTGGATTGACGTGGTCGCTGGGCTGATCGTGCTCACCTATGGGCTGCTGTTCGTTGTGATCTTTCTATGGGCTGCTGTTCGTTGTGATCTTTCAGCTCTCTCTTGTTCTGTTATAGTCTTTTCTATACCTTTGCTAGTTGGAAGTTTTCTTATTTATTTCCTTCTAGTTTTTGTGTTTGGGCCTTTGGTATAGTTTTTGCTGTCTGCTCTTTTGAGCTGTTTTGTAACCTGAGGTTTTTTGCCTCTTTTCTTATTTCAATCTAATATACGGGCTATGCCCTTAAATTTCCCAAAAAAAAAAAAATGGACCTTAGTGCGCACTTGAAGCTCATGATTGTTACTGGATTCCCCTGCCTTTGATAGAACCCGAAAAAAGACCAAAACAAAACCTGAACTGAAAAAGGGCCAAACAATATAAACTAAAGAAAGTTGAAGTTGAGCCCACAAAGGCTCTTCTTTCAAAAAATGTTAAAGAAAAGTTCTGTAACTTTGTAAGAACTTATATAATTGTTAGTTGGATGGTAAAGATGAAGGAAAGAGTATAAGACAGCTCTTAAATGGCCAATATATCTGTGGAGGAAAGACTAAAGAGGAGAGGAGAAAACAACAAACAAATAAGTTTATATGATTTCTGCTTAGTAGTCTTTTGGCAGTAACCTCTAAAGGAATGAGCAGTGGTAACCTCTAAAGGAACGAGTCCTTGTAACTAAGAGATTTGATTGAGACTAGACAACCAAATGAACAGCATATGCTGATCACTGGTAGGAGATGATTGGCAATGGGTAGAGGGAGGCCAAGGTTGAAGCCATTAGGATATAGGAGCCAACTCTTTATGAAGTTTGGGAGGAAGAAGAAGCTCCTTGAGCTTCTTGGAAGAGAGAGAGGTAGGGAAGGGAGGGAGAGAGAGAGTTATTAAGGAATTTTCTTCATTCCTCTTCAATGGGTTAAAAAAGGATATCACCCACATCAACCTATAGTATTTATATATATGTATTTATATTGGAGTGATGTCTTGCGATCAACACAACTAAAACTGGACCAATCCTAATAATCTTCACATTGTTCCATAATTTATAATGAATATCAAAGGATCACCTATTTGCAAGAATTCGTGCTTACGGTGATCTGACAGGCTCACTGTAGTAACTCCACGAGCAAAACCGTCGATCCGAGCCCAATCCCGCTCGTGCCCGACCTCCACTATGTGTTCCAATCCCAAGTTCCAACTCGCGCTCCCGTGTGTTCTAAACCACACGCGCCAGCGCCTGTCGTTGTTCCTCCCATGATCCGCATGCCCGTGCCTTGTGCATCGCCTACTCCCGCGTGGCATGCCCACGCTCCAGCACCGACCACCCTCCGGCTCGCCTGTCTTCCCCGGCTACCCACGCACGCTTCATCCTGTGACTTCACATGAACCACTCCTCCAATCTCGAGTATGCTCGCTTCTTGCGTACTCCTGCTTGCGGATGCCTCTCACGTGGTCTACTCCGAGGGGTTTCTGATCCTACTGCCCGAGGTTCTTAATCCAGTGCTTTTGTGTCCGCTGCTCCGAGAAGCCAGATCCGAACGACTCTGTTCACTTATTTGCAAAAAACCTTCCTCCTTCCTCAAAATCGCCTCTATTAAGCTCTGATACCACTTGTTATGAATTTTCTTGAGGAATATGAATCTTCTTGGATGTGAGAGAGAGGGGGGGTAAGGATGGAGAGAGAGGGAGGGGGATTTTTTTTTTTTCTCTTCAATGGGCTACAAAATCATATCACCCACATTAACCTATAACATCCATATATAGATATTTATATTAGTGTGATGTCTTATGGATCAACACAACTAAAACTGAACCAATCGTAACATAACTAAAGACAATTTTGAAGAGAAATCCAGAAGCTAGGATTTCGACCGTAAAATGGTATTCTAGGCATTCCATGCTGGAGTCAACTATTGATGGCAAAGGATATGATGGCTATAGAGCCTTTGGGCATTAGGACCAACACATGGTGAAATATTAGGCCTGGGCAAAAGCAAGGAAATTTTTGTTCGTGGAGCCACCTGCTGGATAGCTGAAGGGTCCAAGAGGAAAGCCAAATCAAGTGACTGGGCTGTTAGAGAAGATGTATACTAAAACCATTTGAATGTTAAATAGCAAACTAAGATTCACTCATAAAAGCAAACAAGATAACATTACATGATAAGTGCTGAGCAAAAAGTGGCAAGAGCTACAAGTCAGCTCAATTTCAGACCTACTTAGCAAACAAAAAAAAAAAGCACACATTGTTCAAAACACAAAGTAATGTGAAAGCCAAACTTGCCACATATTTGCTCACCTCTTTCCTCTCAAGGATGAGCAACATAGCTTCAAAAGAATGCTCTACTTCCATAGAAAACCCTACCACTCCCATTCTTTGGCTCCTGCAACTTCTTCCCTGAAACAACATTACCATTGTCGATGCTACTGCTGTTCTCAATATCCATTGGAAGCTTCATATTAGCCAACGACTCAGTAAACTCCTGCATGCTTTTCATGTATATATCAACTATCTCCTGCTGCACCACTGGCTGTTCAGGCTCAATATTAACTTCAATGAGCGGCTTCACATATGCCTTCTCTTGCCTACAATTAGAAGAAACACTACCATCCTCTGCAACTTCTGTTTCTTTACTTTTCTGTAACTGCAATGGCTCCGCAATAGCTTCAGAGGTTGTAGGAGCCATCAAAGAAGACACATCACTTGAAACACAACTTAAGGGAGTGTCATCTCCAAGAAACTCAAATGAATCATGATTGTTTTCTGTTGAGAAACTCTCAACTATCTTGACACCGGCGTCCTTATCGGAGTTATCGGAGCAATCATCGCTGTTTTGAGAATCCAAATTGTTGCATGGAATCCCAAAGTACTCTGAAACCATCATCTTGTTTTCATTGACAACCTTCAAATCAGGGAACTCAATCTTCTCATACTCACAAGGAATAGAATCATCAATAGCTGAGTTCTTCAATCCACCAACTTCTATTGCTGATGCAACCGGTTTGGCGATAACCATAACTTCTGGCAATGAGCCATTGTAAGATAAAGACAACTGAACATAGCCTGAGGGAGAATGAAACAGATCTGTTGAAGAAAGTGAGAATTCCTGAGCCAGCTTGCCATAGCCTATGACTTCAGAGAGAGGCACAAGAGCGAATCCGAGAAGCTGGTCTCCGAGATAGTTCTTGGCCCTACTAAGCATCCATATCTCACATTTGAGAGATGAATCAATAGTTACAACATTCAAACTTGCACTCTCATTGAAAATTGGATTCCTGCCGCCGCCATTAATTATCTTGGTAGAGATGGCAGATTCAGGGTTATTAGTGAGGTAGAGCTTAGCATAAACATCTTGCTTGTGGTAGATACAGATGTTTTGAATGTCTCTGGCTTGGTGGATAAATATTTCGAGAGAGCCGATGACTCCATTGGGACTATCCACAACTTGCTGGGGCTTGACAGCTAGCTCAGAAACTGAATTTGGCCTTTCAGAGCTGCATTGAAAAGCCTCATTCCTCGAATTGTCCGGTTCAGTCATGGAGGTGGAAGAGATGGAAGAAATGAGTGCTTGGGAGAAGGGTTTGCAGGATTCCATGGATGAGGAGAAGCTGGTGTTCCTATTTAAGCAAAACACTGAAGCTGAGATTTCAATCAATATGGGTTAGCTCAAAAACTGAATATTTTATTTTGGAGGAGGATTTAGATAAATAAAACACAAAAAATTTCAAAGACAGAGTGCTATCATTTTAGTATTTTACAGAGCTAACTGAACATTTCTAAGACAAATGAGACCAGAAGAACATCAAGTAGTAAAATATCAATAGATATCAGAATTACACAGACAAAAGCCAAAAAGCTAAACCCAACCATAGCACAAATTATACCAGCTTGACACAAAAAGATAAACCCTAAAAGCTCGACGCTTACCTTTAGTTCAAACTGCAGAGAGAAGCTCCAGGCACAACAGACTAAAAAGCAACCTAAACCCCCAACAACGAACCCTACAAAACCAACAAAAAGACAATGAAGCTCTCCAAGAACACAAGAACCTCCATGGCAATACGAGAATTTATAGAAAAACCGGCCAAAAAAACCCCGGCAAAATGTACAAAAATATAATAAAAATAACATATTTACCGAGTAAAAAAGTATTGAATGTAGCTGAGTCTCTCTCTCTCTCTCTACCTCGGAACAAAATTTCGCCGAGCCCAGAGCCAAAAAAAAAACCATTAAAAACTAGAAAAAGAGCTGAATTGATGGTCGGTTGCTGCTTTCCCTCGTCCCAGAGTCAAGCTGGTTCATCGGAGACGTTGAAAAGCGAACCCTGAAACGGCCACGCGTGACTCGAGAATAAATCCTCTCTCCTCTCTCTCTTCTGTAGATAAGACGGCAGAGCAAATGAATGGGCTGAACAGTGAGGGAATAATCTGGAAAGGCAGTAGGCGAAGACGAATGCTTTATGGGAGAAATTATTAACGGTACCGACCAATTAAAACATTGACCGTTAGATTCATCATTTCAAATTATATAAAAGCCTCTTAAAAACTGCTGACTTGTTTGATTTCTGATTTGGATTCCAAATTTATCTAAAAATTATAAAATAATCACAGTTGCTTAGTTTGGTTGGTGGATGACTATGGTTAGGAATCTTCAAGCCGTGCTTAAATCCCCTGTGGGCCAGGAGATTTATGGTGTGGGTGCCTCTTCTAGGTCAGCCGAAGATTAGTCACGCCGTCAAACAACCTTTTGGAGGTGGCAGCGAGTGAATACCCTGTTCTTTAAAAAATTATAAAGTACAAAATATTTTAAGGTAAATATTAAATATTATGTTAAATTTAAATTAAAAAACACAAATTAGAAATATGATGCTTCAAATGATTTATGAATTTAAAAAACATTATAACTTAAAAAAAAATAAAACATCTCATTATTTTTTAGATTAATGATAATGGAGTGGAATTTGACAATTTGTGCTAGGGTGTTATGACATAAATTGTATTAAAATAGATTTATAAATTATTAGATTTGTTTTAAGATTAGTGTAATATAAATAAACATATCTAATATTAATTTCAAAGTAAATAAAATAATTATTATATGATTCATAAATAAAATTATTATATGATCTTATTAGAGGTACAAATCAGTTGAGTCGAGCTCGAGTCAGGGGATGTTCGAGTCTAGCTCGACTGTCAAATATTGAGCTCGAACTCCAGTTCAAACTTAAGTCGAGCTTAAACTCAACTCGAACTCGACTAAGATGAGCTGTGTAGCTAAGCAGGAGTTAAATGTGAATAGAAGGAGCAATGGGCTAATGTGAATAGAAGGAGCAATGGTCAAACTAAAGGAATATTGGTGATGATGGGTTTTGTGAGTGTTAGGTTGTCTTCATGCTGCTGCTGTGGCTCCACTTTCCACAGGCCAAAAGTAGCCAATCAAAACAATGGCATGCACAGTTGGTTGGCTGTTTTATGGTAAGAAATATATATATATTATAAATGGATTTGATTCTCTTTATTTTTTTTAAAGAACTTATTAGTTTGAAATTTCAAGAATCATAAAGAGATGTATATAGTTTTAAAAATAAATTAATTTGAGGTTTCAGAGATTTTTCGTAGATTGGGGTATCTATAGTGGGAGATTTCTCATTAGCCTAAATTCCTATAGTTAATTACATCCCAAGCATAATGCTAGATAACATTCTAGATTAAGGCTTCATTTGGGACGGCCTTTTAACTATTTTTTGAAGCAGCTTTTTAGTACAAAAAATTTAATTTTTATACTAAAAGGCTGCTTCAAGAAGCACGAAAAAAGCTGTCCCAAATGAAGCGTAAGGTCATATTATCCAAGTAGTTAAAATAGCAATCATGATTTGTGGCCTCTGAAATATCGTTAGTATAGCAAAATAATAACATGTTGAATGACATCCATTCACTTAAAATGAGCTGTAGATATCATACTTGATTTGTAAAGGCCAAAGAATATTAGAATAGTTAATAATAATTTATCAACGATCATAACAAGTGATCACTAAAAAAAAAGTGATCACTAATGGTTTCAACGATGAGTCTTAGGCTTCGTTTGGGACGGTTTTTTTATTGCTTCTGAAAACTGAGTTTTAGTACAAAAATTAACAAATTTGTACCACAACTCCGTTTTAGAAAGCAATAAAAAAACTGTCCCAAACGAAGCCTTAGTTCGATCATATAAAAAGTAGCTCAAAGACATTAATCATGGTTGAGTGAAATCAACATTATCAAGGCATGATAACCTATAGACATGTCATGACAAATTCAACTTGAAGGTTTGTTTTATTGGCTAAAAAAAGAATACAATGCAAAAGGAATTAGTCATAAAATGAATACATTAAATAAAACACTTTGAAGATATTTGGATGAATGTAAAGTAAATGCATGTGAAAAATTTTTGTTTGATTTAAAGTTAAAAAAATGTAGTGTAAAGTCCACATATGCTAGCAGTTGGTCCAACCCAAGTGTCTGCATCATTATTTTACATTTATTTAATATGATAAAATTTAAGGATTTACAGAAATACCACATAATTTTTTTAAAATATTTATATATTTAATATATAAGTTTTAATATTTATTTATATTATATATATATATATATATATTCTCATATTTTTTAAATATCTATTAAGTTATTGCTAGAGAAAAAATATATATTTTTTTTTAAACTTGTAATCGCATTAGACTTTTTAATTTTGAAAATAAATTTAGTTGTAAAAGGCTAAAAGCTATGTTTTATCTGCAAAAAAAATTGCAACAACAAAATCAAACCTTTCTCCTACGATGTGGGATCAACTACAATAATATTTTTTCCCGTTATGTTCTATTTAGAGTAAAATTCACATTTAAATCTAATAAGAAAAAGTTGTTTCTAATATTTTCTAATCAAATCCTTTTAGTCTGCCTTTATACTTCTTAACATAGGTCAAATCTAATATATTTACTATCTTGATTTGGTCATCAGAAGGCCAATGTTTTCTATGTCCAAACCATCTAAGACGACCGAAGCTACTCCAACAACTTCATGTACATACTCGTTTGCAGTCTATCTCTAAGAGTGATGCCACTCGTCCACCCGAGCGTCCGCATCTCTGTAATACCTAACATTTTGCACCATAAAACATTGCAGGTCTCATCATTATCTTATTGAATTTTCCTTTAAGTTTGAGGGTTACTTTTCTAACACACAACAAGCCCGATGCATTCCTTTGCTTCAACCATCCAACTAGAATTCTATTATATTCTCATCTATTTCACCATCCCTTTGAACAATAGGCTCAAGAAATTTTACAAATTTTTTTAAAAAATTCAAATAATATTCGGTCATCTCCTGAGACCTCTCTATCATGGCTTCTCCCACCTCCGATGCCGCCTCCTCTCACACAACGAATGCAATAGGCGACACAACCGATAAGCCATTTCTCTATCCTTCTCTCAAATTCATCATCTCACATATGAAATCACTTGTTCCGCATCAGTTGTCCATGGACAATTATCCAATTTGGCGGAATCAGGTCCTCAAACTTTTTAAAGCAAATGGATTCGTGTCATTTCTTGAAACTCCTCCTTCGGTTTCCCCCGATCAAGAATTATCTGATCCCGAATCCGAAGCATCAATATGGCTTCTTACGGATCGTAATCTTGCTGCAGCCATTTCTTCCACCATTTCCGCAAATGTAATTCCCTATGTCATGCATCTTGAGTCGTCTTATGAAATATGGAATGCTCTTCAAACCAGATTCCAATCGGCGAATAGATCCAAAGTTATGCAGCTCAAAAATGAGCTTCAAAACATCTCTATGCGGAACTTGTCGATGCAAGATTACCTTATGGAAATCAAGAAAACTGTCGACCTCATCATCTCGGCTGGATGCAATCTTGACAATGAGGATATCATTCTGCACATCCTAAATGGACTCCCACCTCCCTATCAATCATTTAAGACTGCAATAAGAACTCTTCAAACTCCCCTGTCGCTGGATAGCCTGTATGCAATGCTAGTAAGCGAAGAAATTCATCTTCGTCAAGATTCTCAACGCTTCTCCAACACCCAGGACAATCAAACTGCTCTCTACGCTAACTGTGGTCGCGGTCGTCGCGGCCGTGGACGTCCACCTCAGCCCAACACCATTGGATCTAAACAAAGTTCTAAATCATCTCTCGTTTGTTAGATCTGTACCAAACGTGGTCATTCGGCCGACGTATGTTGGCACCGGCATAATCCAAATTATACTACACCATCTGCTCCGCCGACAACAACTAGTCAAGCCATGATAGCTACTGCTGAATCACCCTCTCACATGACTTACGGTCGTGATAATCTCGCTCAACCGTCGTCATATCAAGGATCCGACAATGTCATGGTCGGGGATGGAAGATCGGTTCCCATTGCGCATACTGGCTCGGGAATTCTTCCTACCCCCGAGCGTAAGTTGTTTCTATCTAATTTACTTCACATACCGGCCATTTCTCACAATCTAATATTTATTTCTAAACTGGTCGCTGATAATCACATAGCTATTACATTTGAGCCTAATGGGTTTGTGTTGAAAGATCTGCAGACTAACAGAATACTGCTTCGTGGCCCTTGCAAAGGCTGATTGTATTCTCTATCTTTCAAGAAATCGGCTGCATCTCACAGGGCTCTGACGACACACAAGAAAACTTCTCTCAACTGGCATGAACGGCTTGGACACCCTCATCAGCACATTCTTGATCAGATCTCCACTACACACCCGTCGTTACATATACTACACAATTCTAATAATTGTACTGCTTGTAAAGAATGTAAAAGTCACAAGTTAGCTTTCTCAAAATCTGTAAACCGTAAACATTTTCCTCTTGCTTTACTTCATGCGGATGTTTGGGGTCCATCCCCTGTTTCGTCTATACAAGGCTGCCGTTATTACCTAAACATTGTCGATGATTACTCTCGCCACCTATGGATTTTTCCCTTTATGTTCAAAACTGAGATTACTAATATTTTCATTAACTTCATTACCTTTATTGAAAAACAGTGTGCTCGTTCAGTTCAGGTTGTTCGCACGGACGGCGGGTCTGAATTTGTTAATCACCAGTTTAACACATTTCTTCAGACCAAAGGAATTCTTCATCAGCTTTCGTGTCCATACACGCCGGAACAAAACGGCGTCGCAGAACGCAAACATCGCCATATAATAGAGACAGCACGGACGTTACTACACACTGCATCTATGCCACCCGAATTTTGGCCTGACGCTGTTCTAACAGCCGCTTACCTTATCAATCGCATGCCCACACCGACAACGAATAACACCGCTCCTATCAAGCTCATGTTCAACCAGGATCCAGAATACAACAACCTACGCACATTTGGTTGTGAATGCTTCCCACTCCTTCCGAAGCATTCCAGACATTGAGAAAATAACTAAACTACTCAAACTATAAAAAAGATAATTTTTTTAAAAAATAATGATAAAACAACTTAAACAATAGTAGCAAAATAAAATTATAGCCGAATAACAAATCCAAAAGTAATAAATAATATTGCTGGAAAATAAAAAAAATGAACGTTATATAAAATTAATTATGAAATTGTTGTAGAAAGCATAATTTGGTTACTATGATTAAAAAATAACTTTATATCATAATTTTTTTGAAAAAAATAATAAAAATTATTATCCAAACAAAATTTTGATTATTATCTCAAAAGTATAGCAATGTCAAACCGATCCAAAATTTTGAAATTAAAAGCAACATAAATTGATAAAAAGGCATTTAAGAAGAATTTCTCCAAGTCCCAAATTACATTAAGTAATAATAACATCATAAAAGCGAAGTCATGCATGCATGCATGCCTTGCATCCTCGCATGACATGCAACAACTAGATCATGGCATATATCATGCCATCATGACTCACTTACCATCATCCTAAGCCTTCAATCCACTTAATGGACGGCTACAATTTAATCAATCGTTAAATCCACACATACTACTACTATCCTATTTACACTACAAGTGCACTAAAACAGCCATCCAAATATACACCCGCGGAACAAATAAAAAAAAACTTCAAGCAATAAAAACACACCATGTGTCATGCCATTTACCTTACATTTCCACCCAAAGCAGCCCTTGCAGCGGCGTCAGCCCGTGGCTCCCGCAGATATCCCAGTAGTGTTTCAGCCTGCGAGACACCGCATGCAAACCCCATGTGAGCGAGTAATAATTAATAGACATTCCAACAAAAAAGTACGATAAAAAAGTAAATTAAAAACCCCACCAAAAGGTCCAAAATGAAAATATGAGGGTTATATGAGGCAGAGAAATAAATATCAAATAGTAACAGAATAAAACCGCCAGACATTCATTGGACCCCCTCACTTTTCCAAATTTATTACAAAGCTTATCTGTTCAAAAGGAGAAGCTCACGAACTGCCAGTAGCGACAATCATGAAATATCAATCTGTCATGGTAAGAACAAATCGATGCCCATTGCCCCATAATGCAATTTCACACAATTGTGACCAATACTTAACATTTTATAATATTTACAAATTCAAACTTCTTAAATTTACCTGCTTTGAAAAAAAAAATCATATGAGCTACCAAAAGGACAAATGTGTAATTTTCAGATAACACAGTATGCGCATGGAAGGAAGAAATAGCTAAAAAGGAATCTTGCATGACGTATTAAGAAAATTAACCCAAAAAAAAATACCGACAAGGTTGGGTTAAAATATAGGTAAATAGGAAATATTCATTTCAGCCCCTAACTTCTGTAGATTTAAATCGGTTTGATCGAAATTTTATGGCTAAAATGGCAGATCCAAAGCTATGGAGGTCGCAATTATAATTATAAAGATTTTTGCAATCATTAAATTTAGTTTGAACTGTGAAATATCAAATTTATAGCAAAAGAAATTATGTTATTTTAAAAATAAATAACATAAATATTTTAATTAAAAAACTATTTCGAATAATTTCAGAATTCTGATCGAGAATTTTTCCCAACAACACGAGACAACCAAAGAATGTTATTTGCAACGATAAATTTATAAGAGTGATAAAACCCCAATAAATAACTTATAAAAAATATCTACGCCGTCGCCGGACTGTCGCCGGCGAGGGCGAGGGCGAGGGCGAGGAGAATCTCTAAAGCAAACGCACCTTGTGTTTGGCGCGGGCGGAACCCGACTGTGAAAGCGCGACGAGTGGAGGAATGGCGCCCTCCCGCACAAGAAGCCCGCGGTTGCGGGCAGAATCAGCGCAGAGTTGAAGCAGAGTGAGCACAGCAAACTCCTTTCCCCTCGCCGGGCCATCCTCAATCGCCTCAACAAGGGCCGGAATCCCACCTTCCTTTACAATCGCTTCCCTTCCGTCTGCTATCGCCGCCAAGCTACTCAACACCACCATCGCCTTCTCAGCCATGCCTCCGCTTCGTTCTGCGACCAAACCAACAAGTGGCGCCACCGCACCTGCACTTACCGCCCGATCCTTATTCTGCCGTGCCGAACAGAGCTTGTACATCGTCGTCAGCGCGTCCTTCTTCCCCCTGCTTGACCCATTCACCATAAGCGAAACCAGAGGTGGGATAGCCCCGCATACCCCGATCGTGATGCGGTTGTCCTCGATCATCGAAAGGTTGAGCAGCGCGCACGCCGCGTTCTGCTTCGCGGTTGACGTACCAGTCCGTAGAGCGTACACGAGAGGTTTGATCGCGCCGGCGTCAGTAATGGGGGTTTTGTTTGATTCCTGGAGAGAGAGGTTGAGGAGAGCAGTGACCGCATTTTCTTGTGCAGCAGGATCGGTGCTGCGAAGCAAGGGGATCAAGGCCTGGATCACGCCAGAAATGCCGATGAGCTCCCGGAAGTCGGATCGATGCTTGGCGAGAAGACGGATTTGCGCCGCTGCTGTGCGTTTCGATTCTATGGGACTGGAGGAGTTCATCAGTGTCTCCGCACATAATTTAACAACTGGTTCCACCTCCTCCGGCGACGAAATGTCGAGGATCTCAGTGGACCCAACAGCTTCAGCGTCAGCAGCTTCAGCCTCAGCTCGATCCATGTCCTCCAGCACCCGCTGCGGAGACTTGCTATCACAAATATAAGCTAGCCGCTGGAGCTCGCCTGAAATGTCGGAGTTGAAGCTAGAGAAATCGGAGAAATCCCTTGAAATCTGAAGAAGTTCGGTTGCGTCGTCGGCCTGCGGAGGTGACTTCGCTGCGGACGCCATGTAACCGGCGGTTAGCTCCCCTAGCCTGAAATCAATGATGGAATCCGTCAATATTTCCGACACCGCAGCGGAGCGGGCAGCTGTCGGCGACCGCTCAGGTGAGCAATCCCGTCCGCTTTGACAATCCCGTCCGCTTTGATACAGATTAGACCGAATCGTCCGCATAGAACGCCCATAGGACCTCTGGATTCTCGCTGATGACGAGCACGGGCTCAGCGACGAAGGGATCTGAGAATCAGTTAACGAAACCATTGTTATCGACGAAAGAAACACCGTTAGAGAGAGCGAGAAATGCAGAGCTGCATGCAGGCGGAAATCAGAATCGATAGAATCTGCATCTATGCAGAATCAATGGACGAGAGCTCGAGTGGCGTTCATGGCGGATGAGGGAGCAGAGAAGAGAATGAAATGCAGTACAATGGCGGCTCAATCCCCGAGTGCCGATACCGTCGTTAACTAGGAGCCCCTCAACGTTAGCACCTAGTTAAATTACGATTCGGCCCCCTACATTGCGTGAAGACAAGAGCCCGACTGCTCGTGGGAATGTGGGGCCGTAAGTAATTTCGAAAGTTGGTGAAAGGAAAGGAAAAGGGTCCCCGCCCAGTTAGGCATGGTTTCGAGGAGGAATCTTTACTCTTTAGTGAGAAGTCATTGACCGTTCGATCGATACACGTGAATGGTAGATTTTAAGGGGGACGGTCGAGATGGACGCATGGAATTTATTTTTATTTCTTCAGAGAAGTATCGGATAGCGAGAATGTGTAGATAAGCCTTGAAAATCAATATCAAGTTGATGGGGACGATCGTCGGCATCTACCAAATTATATATATTTTTTTTTTCATAAATTTGAAAAATTACATATATGAAATTTAACATAATAATTTTTTACTTAACATAATAGTTATGTGCTTACTAACATAATTTGAAAAATTACATATATAAAAATAAAATTAAATGCATTTTCCATTTTTTTTGGGGGGGAAATCATATGCCTAACTTAATAATTTATTTAATTAATGGGTTATATATCATGTCATTAGTAATGGCTTCTCTGAACTTTCAAAGTAATAAGCCATGTAAAAAATCAAACAGTGATGAATGGGTTGAATGAACTAAAAAAATTAATTAGGGGGTGATTTGAGTAAAATTCCTTGCTAAGCTTGTTTTTTTGTTGGCCGAGTTGAAATTCGCATTGACGAGCAATTAATTAATCAAATAGAAATAAGTTAATAATGCCTAATTTACATTATCTTAGACAACTAATCATCATTAAAAAAAATTTAAGCTTTGGTTAGCGACAAAATTAGTTTGACTCAGGCACTGAAATCGACAATATTATCTTCCGTTTGAACTATAGATGTTTTATCTTTCGCAATTTTTGATAAAAATATATATAACTTAGGTGATATTTTATTATGTAATTCAATTTTTTTTTATGTATTTTAAAAACAAATTTTTTGGCTTTATTTTAAATACAGGCTAAGTTAAATTTTTTCGGTCGCATGCCTGTTTGTCGCCGCCAATGTTCGTTGGTTGCCCACAATTGCCATCGGTCATCAACTGTATGCCACCAGTCCTCCACCGTATCTACACCATCAGTGTCAACCACCGATCACTATCGTCATTTATCTTAGTATTGTATTTATTTTACTTCAAATCAAATTCAAAATTAATCAAATGCATTTCTTGTATGCTCATTCAAACAATTTCAAATGTTTCAAAGATTTTGCAATTATCTATCGGATTTAATTTTCATGCTAATTTTATGTTGGATTTAAATTAGATTAAGAGTATGTTTGAAACAACTTTATAGTTGCTTTATTTTTAAGCAAGTATAATAATATCTACCTATTGCTTTTGAGAAATTTTTATGATGAAAAATTATTTTTTACAATCGAAATAATAAGTTGAACAACTTATATATATATATATATATTAAGGTAGTTTTAAATAGATTTTGGGATTTATAAATCAATATTGGATCTTAGATGTGTGATTTGAGGGACAGCTGGCGTGGGGCCTATGATTAAGCATTATGATAGCAAATTAATTGAGATGACCTATGGATAGTGTAAGTACTAAAATGTATTTATCATAATTATATAACAAAATAATCTTGATTTGATTAAAAATTTTGGATTATTATTGATACATCAAAAAAATTCAAAATGGTCACATAATTGGATATGATCCTCGATGCATATTTGAATTAAAAAAAATTATAATTAAATTAAAGTTCATCGAAACTCTGATTTTAACGTCTTTATAAATAAAATGTTCGATATAAAATCGAAAATATAGAAGTTCATTATAGAAGAGACAAAATTTAGAAGTTAGGACATAGTTAAAAAACTTTGGGATATTAATGTTAGACCTCACTTTAGTATTAAACTGTACCAGAGCATATTACACCTAGGCTATAGCTATACCTATATATTTGTAACATGTACTCTAATTTTACATAACAATATACTTTCTTTAATTCTTTCTTCTGCTCTCTCTGGCATCTTTCCCTGCTTGCTCTCTTCCGCCTAGCTCTGACATGGTATCAAGAGCCTAGTATGGGAGATCAAGAATCCTCTTCCAATCTCCCTCCCTCCTCCTCCATTCTCGCCGGCAACACCGCCTCCGATACAATCATCCCTGCTCCTCTTAAATTCTTGATTTCTGACATCAAAAACCTCATTCCCCACCACCTAACTATCGACAACTATGCGATATGGCAGATTCAAGTTCTTCAACAAGTTGCAACGAACAACTACGCCGAACACCTCACCGGCACCACCCCAAAGCCGCTGAACAGCAGCTCTCCAGATTACCATATGTGGACACTCGTGGACAACAACTTGATCTCGACGTTATTCGCTATGATCTCGCCGTCGATCCTACCCTACGTCATCACCTCCAACACCGCCCAAGAAGTCTGGACGATCTTGGAACATCGTCTTCAGCCAACAAGTCGTTCAAGAGTCATTCAACTCAAGAACGAACTTCATCACATTCAGCTCAAGAATCTATCCATGCAGCAATACCTCACGCAGGTCAAACAGATCGTCGACAACATCGCCGCCTCCGGCTCCAAATTGGATCCCGAAGACATCATCCACTACATACTAAATGGACTTCCGGCCACCTACAACTCCTTCAAAACCTACGTTCAAAATTCCAGCCTCCCTGCCGATCTTGACGCTCTGTACGCTCAGCTATGCAGCGAAGAGATACATGTCAGTCAAGAACATCTAAAACCCACCACAGCAGAACAAACCGCCTTCTACACTACCTCTTACAATCAACAGAGAGGTAGATCTCAAAAGCGGTACACCAAGAACAAGAGTAACTCCTACCCCCCGGCTCTGAACCCGACACCTCCTCCTGCCTCACCCGCACCAACCAAAAGATCGACGTGCCAAATCTGCAGAAAACCCGGACACATCGCGATCAACTGCTGGCAACGCTGCAACTTCAAGTATGCGCCAACCATTCCCTACCAACCTCGGGCCATGCTAGCACAACCCACAACCTATCCATCACAAGATTGGATTCTTGATATCAGCGCATCAACACACCTCACACCGGATAGCAGCCAACTTCTGCAACCATCTGTCTATCAAGGCTCGGAAGCTGTCTCTGTGGCAAACGGCTCAACTCTTCCCATTCAATATTCTGGCCAAGGTCTCCTACCCTTGCCGGATACCCCTCATAAGCTACGCTTAAATAACCTACTGCACGTCCCCTCCTTAACGCATAATCTACTTTCTGTTTCAAAACTGACAACCGACAATTTCATCTCTATTACTTTTGATTCTAACGGGTTTGAAATGAAGGAATCTCAGGATCATCAATTGCTGCTTCGTGGCCGTCTTCGTAACAGTCTGTACCACATCCACACTCCGCCGGACTCTCCTCCAGCGGCTCTCCACACTGTACCGAACACCATGCACCTGTGGCATGCCCGTCTCGGACATCCGAACAGCAGACTCCTCTCCACACTAGCAAAGACGATGTCTCTTCCCTATAAACATCTTAGAATTTTTTTGTGTAAATCTTGTAATGTGGCCAAAAGTCACAATCTCAAATTTAATAAAAGGAATTCGGTCACCACCTCACCGTTTGAACTTATACATTCAGACGTGTGGGGCCCGGCACCGATTCCGTCACTCAATGGCTTTCGTTATTATGTAATCTTTACCGATGATTTTCCCATTTTTCTTGGATCTACTTTATGCATACTAAACAGGAAACTCATAGCCATTTCAAGAACTTATGCAATATATTGCATACCCAATTCAACCGCACCCCAAAAACACTCCAAACAGACGGGGGTGGTGAATTCATGAGTGCCATGAATGCAACCTTCATTGCCTATCTCCAAGATCACGGTATCCATCACCAGATCAGCTGTCCGCATAAACCAGAACAAAACGGGATAGCCGAGCGCAAGAACAGACATGTTCTTGAACTAACTCGCACTCTCCTACATGCCTCACAGCTTCCCAACCAATTCTGGTCAGAAGCTGTCTCCACCGCTATTCACCTAATCAATCGCCTACCGAACAAACACACCTTGCACGTCTCACCCTACCAAATTATCCACAGCAAAATCCCCACCTACAACAACCTCCGAACCTTCGGCTGTCTCTGCTATCCGTGGCTAAGGCCCTACGCCGAAAACAAATTATCACCAAGATCACAAGATTGCATCTTCCTCGGATACTCACCAACCCACAAAGGCTATAAGTGTTATAATCTTCAAACTCATAAGATCCATCTCTCACGTCACGTGGTGTTGTGGGAACACGAATTTCCATATAAAAACAACTCCCCCTCACTGGACTCTACACCGTCTTCAAACATACCTCCACTACTACTTGTTCCTACCTCCAACATTCAATGTATCATCACAACACCTCAAACCGGATCTCTCCAGCACACCAGAACGTCCGAAATCTGTCATGACAGCCCGCTCAAGTCTCCTACAGCAATTACCAGACCCTCACCAGCGCCCTCCACGGCTCTTGCTCAGGAATCTCGTCCCCAACACCCTATGCAAACGAGATCTAAATCAGGTATTATTAAGCCAAATCCTCTCTACTCCCTGTACAGCACTACAGATCTGTCCCACACCCCAGTCACTTACCATCAAGCACGCCACTTCCCTCATTGGCAAGAAGCAATGAAGGCAGAATTCGAAGCTCTTCAACAACAGCAGACGTGGACCTTGGTGCCGGCTCCACCGGACAAGCCAATCCTTGGCTGTAAGTGGACGTTCAAAACAAAAACTCTCCCATCGAGCAAAATAGACTGTTACAAGGCACGCCTCGTAACCTTAGGATACAATCAAAAATATGGGGAAAACTACACCGAGACATTTAGTCCGGTGGCAAAAATGACAACGATTCGGGTGCTACTCACGGTTGCTCTAAATCGCAACTGGCCAATACTCCAGCTCGACGTTTTCAATGCATTCCTACACGGTGATCTTCCGGACGAGGTCTTCATGCGACAACCTCAAGGGTTTATCGACCCCCAATTTCCCAAATCGGTCTGCAAGCTGCAAAAATCCCTTTATGGTCTCAAATAGGCTCCTCGACAATGGTTTCAGAAGCTCACAGATTTCCTACAAACAAAAGGCTTCCGGTTCAGTCGCTCTGATCCCTCTCTTCTCATTTTCACCAAAGAACACATCAACTTATTTTTCTTAATATACGTTGATGATCTACTTGTCACAGGGAACGATCAACACACGAT